GTTTATTATCATCATCAAGTTGTAGAACATTACGCCATGGTGTATCAACCCTCTCATTAAGCGCTTTTTTATTAAAAGCAAGAACACAACCTTTATAAAAAGATTTACCAGTACTTGAAAAAAAATTAAAACATAGAGATTTTCCAGAGCTTAAAAAAATTCCTGAAACATCATCTAACATAGGAAAAATAAAAAACTCAGATAATACATCCTCTTCATTAGGAACAATTTTGTGTTCATAGTATTCTGATAACAGTTTCAGTTCATCAAAAGTGAGTTTTTGTTTCCATTTTGTAATAAATGAAAAACAGATCGTAAGGACTTAATTTTCAAACTCAAAGCAACTCCTTCCATATTCCCAAAGTCTGGTCCTGTCAAGTGTACTAGACTCCCCATAGTACAAATTTTGGATGCCACAAGTGTTTCTGTAAGTCCAGGAATTGAACAGTCATTGTGTTTTAAATCGAACCGTGCTCCATATATTAACGGTTCTTTAAGGAGCCAGTAAAGAGATTCAAAATGTCCTTCTCTTTGCACTCTGAACATTTTCCACACTTTAAAAACATTACGATAAAAAATAGGCATCCCATTAAGGTTCACCTTTGACAAGTCCATGAAAAAAAGATTCCTGTCCATTTTCAAATTACCCACATTTTGTAATATTTTACATGCAACTGCTTTCCAGTTTGAGGTTACAGAATTATCAAGAAGTCTTTGTAAAAACTGTAAACGAAAAGCTGCTGCTCTACTTTGAATATGAACCAATCCTTGCCCTCCTTCTTCTTTAGGTAAAAACAATATGCTCTGAGGAACCCAATGTAACTTATCCCAGAAAAAATCAACTAAAATTGCTTGAATCTCTGCTAAGAGACGCAAAGGAGGATCAATACAGGTTAACTTATGCCATAAAGAGGAAGCAACTAAATTATTTATAACTAAAGCTCGACCTCTATATGACATATTTGGGATTAACCATTTCCATTTTTCAAGTCTACCTTTAACTTTTTCAAGAGTTCCTTCCCAATTTTTTGTACAATCACTTCATCTCCTAAAAAAACCCCTAAATATTTAAAACCTCCTCTCTTCCAAACCAAGCCAGGAGGAAGGGCAAACGGAACATTTTTCCAATCCCCTATTAAAATTGCTTCACTCTTTTCCAAGTTAATTTTAGCAGAGGACAGTTTTTTAAAATCATCAAGTACACGCATTAAAACCTTTACATCACTCTGTTGGCTAACAAACACTACTACATCATCAGCGTACGCAGAGACTGTTATACTTTCAACATTGGGCAATTTAAAACCTTGTACATTCTTCCTCAATTGCTGCAGCAGAGGTTCTATTGCTAGTGAATATAGCATTCCAGAGAGCGGGCATCCCTGCCTCACCCCTCTAAAAACTTTAAAAGGAGTGCACAGGCCACCATTAATTTTGAGTATGCTCTCAACATCACTATACAAAACTTTGATTTTATCAATAAAACCCTTACTAAAACCAAATGCTTTTAATGTTTCCCATAAATATGCATGCTCAACCCTATCAAACGCTTTCTCCTGGTCAAGCGAAATCAAACCAATGTCACTATTTGACAACTTAGAGACACAATAAATATCCCTAATAAGGGAAATATTATCAAAAATTGACCTTTTGGGAACACAGTAAGTTTGGTCCGGATGGATCACCTTACTCATAACTTTTGTTAATCTGTTGGCTAAAATCTTTGAAAGAAGTTTATAGTCACTACACAGAAGTGAAACAGGTCTCCAGTTTTTGATCTCAGTGAGATCTCCTTTCTTGGGAAGAAGGGTCAGGATTGCTCTCCGGCAACTCAAAGGTAGAAGACCTTCGTCCAAACTACCATTGAGGACTTCTAAGAGATCCTCTCCTAAAACTTCCCAAAAACATTTGTAAAAGTCTATGGGTATGCCATCAACTCCAGGCACCCTTCCGGATTCCATGCTCTGAACGGCCTTATGCAGTTCTCCCAGGCTGAGCGCACCTGAAATCTCTGCATTACCTTCATCAGACACCTTTGGTAAATCCTCAAAAAAAGCACTTTTACTAATATTATCTGATCCTACTTCACTTCTGTACAGTGTCTCATAAAAACCAATTGCCCTACTTCTGATCCCTACAGGATTGGACAACAGAATTCCTTCTTCTGATCGCAAAGCGTGAATGATTCTTTTTTGCCCGTTTTTCCTTTCAAGGTTAAAAAAATACTTTGAAGGTGCATCCATCTGATCAAGACTTATAAATCTTGACCGGACCAAAGCCCCCTGTGTTTTAACCCCTAATAATTCTGCCAATTGATTTCTTTTCTTAGAAAGAATCTTCAGATAACTTTTTTGTTTCGTTAAATCCGCCAATTCCTGTATCTTAATTATGTCATTCTCTAAGTCTTTCATTGACTGATTTAAAACTTTGGTGCTGTTATGAGCATACTGCTGACAATACTGTTTAATTTGCACTTTACCAAAATCCCACCATTTCTGAACTGATTGAAAAGAATCTTTTGTTGTTCTGTAATCGGCCCAAAACAACTTAAACGTGTGTATAAAATCCTTATTATCTAACAACGTTAGATTAAAATGCCAGTACGCACTTTTTGGCTTGACAGAATTCAAAATAAAAGAACATTGCACCATACAATGATCTGAAAGACCAACAGGAAAAATACAACAATTTTTAAAAATACCAGTATGATGTTTAAACACATAAAATCTGTCCAATCTTGCCAAAGATAAAACATTACCACGTGTATGTGCCCAAGTATATTGCCTTTTATCCTCATGATAAAACCTCCACACGTCACTTAATTCATGCTTATTTATTATTTGAAAGAGACGCTTTCTTGACGGCATATGGGGTTCAATATGATTTCTGTCACAATTACTCACTGTACAATTAAAATCTCCCCCCAGAAATAAATAATCATCATTAGAAACATCTTGTAAAACAGAACATAATGTATCCAAAAACAACATCCTATCAATTGTTGAGTTGGGGACATACACACAAATAAAAACAAAATTACAATTCTCAACTTGTGCTTTCACTTTTAAAAGTCGACCTTTCAAAAATTCTTTAACTTGATATGAAGCTGGATTAAACGTTTTTGCAAATAATATTGCTACTCCTCCACTTAAAGTGGTATTGTGACTGAAAAAAGATAAGCCTTCCCATTCCTTCATCCAATCATTCACATTATTCACGTCACTATGTGTTTCCTGAATCAAAGTGACATCTAATTTTTTCTGCTTGATAATTTCATACAGCTCAGCTCTTTTTCTATAATCTCTAGCACCATTGACATTCAAGGAGGCAATCCGCACTTCAGCCATACTTAAATAAATAAACAAACAAAAAAACACAAGTGAAATCATATAACTAAAGTTCTTAGTCTTCATTTTCATTTAACTCCGTGCCAACTTTCCTCACAATTTTTCAAACGATACACCTCCCTGTTCGAAAGGCACCCATCTACTAATAAACCTTTAGCTTTGTTATAGAACTGATTTAAGTCAGGAAAATAATCCTTTACAACCACACCCCGTTTGTTTTTTGTGGTATTAAGGAAACGTTTTATGTCATCAAAGTCATAACTTCTGCTTATAGCAGCTTCACTCTGTGACAACACTGTACTCGAGTCAGACATTTCACTTCCACTTTCTGACTCTTTCTGATCCTCATCACCCTCAACCACTTCACCTTTTTTAAAACACTTTATGTGACTGATCTTTTCCACATGTTTCCGTTTTGTTAGCACTTTGAACAGCCTACTCTCTGTTTCTATATCAGACACATCGCCCATGTTTTCAACATCACGATTCAACAAAACAGTTTTTGCAGCAACAGTTTCTGAAGAAGTGTCCCTACCTTCATTTCATGATTCCACCGAGGTCGATCCGGCTTCCACAGGCCCCTCAACAGATGCTCCTTCCCCAACAGGTATATCCACAGTCGGCACTGCTTCAGCCAGACCGACCTCAGCCGGTTCAGACGCAGGCTTATCTTTAGTTGAAGCACTACCTCCAGCTGCACTCTTATCAGGACATGAACGTATTAAATGGCCCGATTTACCACATCCAAAACACTTCATTTCATCAGTGGTAACAAAAACAACATATTCAAAATCATCCACACGAAAATTTAGAGCCAAGTCCAATTCCGCGTCATCTTTGATGATCATGAACGCAAATCTCCTGAATGAAACTATGTGTTTCAATAAAGGAGACTCGCACCCGATCGTGATCTTCTTAATCGGTGAAACCAACTTCCCATACCTTGATAGTGCTTGTTTCAAAATATCATCACTGAGAAACGGAGGGATATTTGATATTGTGATTTTTTTTGACGGTAACAACAGCGGTAGAACAGGTGTAAGTATTTCATCAATGATTATGCCTCTCGCAACTACCTCATTTGCTCTTTCCACCGAGTTTAAAAAAATCACGGTCGCACCATTCATTCTGGATGCGGAGAGAATGTTTTGGTGACCAACAATCTCTCCTACACCCAGACAACAAGTTTCTACACTCGCCACGGATACGATCTTAACTCCGTGACGGCGTGTTAAAACATCGAGCCCAGTACCAGCCTGAGCTGCCATGCTTTCCAAGAAAGCAGGCAGCACAAATAAACACCACACAAGACAAAAAAAAACAAGTGAAACAACAAATTCAGAAAGAAAAAAGAAAGAAAAATATAAAGAAAAAACACAAAAGAAAGAAACAAATACACGCGCTCAAAATTCACGCTCTCACACATGCTCCACAAACGCCCACGCATGCGCAGAGAGAGAGAGAGAGAGAGAGAGAGAGAGAGAGAGAGAATGAAAAAAATAAGAGACTCTTTATTCTGTAGAGTCACATCATCTTCATCAGCAAATAAAACAAACAGAGGAAGAGAGATCTTCATCTTTATTTCACCAGATCACAAAATACTAAGGTGAAAATGTTTGTACAAATATAATGTTAATGTGTTCTAGTTTAAACAGTTGAAGTGATTTTAAGCATTTTGATTCTTGTATGTGAATGTGACTGACCTCAATCTCTCCAGTTTACAGTGTGAATCCTTCAGTACGGCACATAAGTGCTTCACTCCTGTGTTTCCTAGTTTATTCTCGCTCAGGTCCAGATCTCTCAGGTGTGACGGGTTTGATTTCAGAGCTGAAGTCAGGATGAGACTCTGTTCCTCTGTAATACTGCAACTCCACAGACTGAAGACAGAGAAATAACAATAGTTCACATCTATGATGATCATCTTATTGAAGAGCTACAGCAGCATTTAGTTTCCAATAGTCTGTTTTAAAACCCAGTCACACTAGTTCTGTGCGCTGGAAGCAGAAAAAGCAGATTTCTGTGTGTACACAATCAGTACATTGTATCAGATGCTGGGAATTAAACAATTACTATCTACACTCTAAAAAGTTTTATATGATTTACAACATTTTTTTTGGTGAAAAATGTTCACACTCAAAAATATTGATTCAATTTTAAAGCAGTGAAATCAATTACAATACACTGTATAAGCTAACTAGAAAAAAGCACACAAAACCCAGAAAGTGCACTGCTATAACCAATGAAACATAAGCCCTGCTGTCTTCAAATAAATAAACTTCAGTCACACAGTAATTCAGTGGTGAGCCATCAGGGCCAGCAAGGCCTTCTCTAAACACTATCAGAATCACTGACTTGCACTTTAATATATTTTTTGCATGAATATTAAATTATTCCCAATAGTTCATTCTCTTAATTTCATAGCTTTTCTCTTGGTTGCGCTGCTTCCAGTATTGTGTTTTTATGTTAGAGCTTGTATCCAATCATATTTCAGCCATCATGTGTTGCCGGGTCAAATAAATCTGCCTGGAGGCCTTCAGAATCGACAGTGCAGGCGTCTGTAGCTTAAAATGAAAGGCAATGAAACTGTTTCTTTAACCAATCAGATAATCCGTCAGATTTAATCAGCCAATCAGATTTCGCTTTGACTGCAGTGGGGCCATCTAGCAGGCGTATAATAACATCTGTATTTTCTCGTTCTTTGATTGGATGCGCGTACTATTACTAGTAGTATCCGCATCTGTAGCGAACTGCATAAACTAAAGTATATTCCTGTAGATGTAATAGATTTCAACCCACAAATTAATGTTTCTTTCCCTCCTCGACCCCCAGCAGAAAAAAATCCCTTATTCAGCCTGAGCTAAACGCAGAGTAACGGGACTCTATTCGATCTCTCCGGGTAAAAACAGAACAGATTAATGTAAGTTATGAAACGAATGATTTTGAAGGCAAAAGTCCCGCTGATCTCGTTGATTTCGGTCAAAACTCTGTGTGAGAGCATGGGGCAGCTGTACACATCGTCATGTTTTGCGGTGACTGTGTGTTTCTGTCGAACAGGCACTCTCAGCCATAAAGCGAATTAAAATTTATGCTAGAAATAAGACGAGACAGACACAACATTATTGGAACTGAAACGCAGTTAGAACCTGTACGACAGTAATTGAAGTCTTCTTGAGGAAAGAAATAAGGATGGATTTTGTGTAAAAAAATAATCTGTAGTTTTGGTGAGTATATGCTTTTTCCCCCGTGGTGAATATGATTTTCTTCTTAATTTTTTGTATAAAATTATGATCGAAACTTAATTTTTTTCAAACATTCATACTATTGTAACGTCTGAAAAGGGACTATTGTAACCCTTGAACGACAAGATAAGTGAGGCTTCGTTTCTGAACTTATAATCGGATTCGTAACGCAAGAACCACTTTACAAACGCACCAGCCGAACTCACGCGCTCGTTTCTCTCTACTGGCCTCTCCCGAACTCACCGCATTAACCCAATAACTGCCGGTGCAAAATAAAAACAATTATAGAGAGTCTTTACGCTGATACACTATTAAAAGTTATTAATTCAGGTAGGACAGATGGCCTAGGTGTGAAATGCACGGCCCGCCACTGCTGTAATTGCTGCACAGTATAATGACACTAACTGTAGTTTCTCCAGCTTGAATTGTGGGTTCATCAGTATATCACTGAGGTTTTTCACTCCAGAGTCTCCTAGTTTATTCCTGCTCAGGTCCAGCTCTCTCAGGTGTGACGGGTTTGATTTCAGAGCTGAAGTCACATCAGAACAACCTTCATCTGTCATATAACAGTAGATTAACCTACATTAGCAGAGAGAGAGAGAGAGAGAGAGAGAGAGAGAGAGAGAGAGAGAGAGAATGAAAAAAATAAGAGACTCTTTATTCTGTAAAGTCACATCATCTTCATCAGAAAATAAAACAAACAGAGGAAGAGAGATCTTCATCTTTATTTCATCAGATCACAAAATACTAAGGTGAAAATATTTGGACAAATATAATGTTAATGTGTTTTAGTTTAAACAGTTGAAGTGATTTTAAGCATTTTGATTCTTGTATGTGAATGTGACTGACCTCAATCTCTCCAGTTTACAGTGTGAATCCTTCAGTACGGCACATAACTGCTTCACTCCTGTGTTTCCTAGATTATTCTCGCTCAGGTTCAGCTCTCTCAGGTGTGACGGGTTTGATTTCAGAGCTGAAGTCAGGATGAGACTCTGTTTCTCTGTAAAACTGCATCCATACAGACTGAAGACAGAGAAATAACAATAGTTCACATCTATGATGATCATCTTATTGAAGAGCTACAGCAGCATTTAGTTTCCAATAGTCTGTTTTAAAACCCAGTCACACTAGTTCTGTGCGCTGGAAGACACTGTTTCTTCTCTTTCATTTCTAACTATTTATTTGTCATCTCTCTTCTTTATTCTCTGTTGAAAAGGCAGATTTCTGTGTGTACACAATCAGTGCATTGTATCAGATATCGGGAATTAAACAATTACTATCTACACTCTAAAAAGTTTTATATGATTTACAACATTTTTTTTGGTGAAAAATGTTCACACTCAAAAATATTGATTCAATTTTAAAGCAGTGAAATCAATTACAATACACTGTATAAGCTAACTAGAAAAAAAGCACACAAAACCCAGAAAGTGCACTGCTATAACCAATGAAACATAAGCCCTGCTGTCTTCAAATAAATAAACTTCAGTCACACTGTAATTCAGTGGTGAGCCATCAGGGCCAGCAAGGCCTTCTCTAAACACTATCAGAATCACTGACTTGCACTTTAATATATTTTTTGCATGAATATTAAATTATCCAATAGTTCATTCTCTTAATTTCATAGCTTTTCTCTTGGTTGCTCTGCTTCCAGTATTGTGTTTTTATGTTAGAGCTTGTATCCAATCATATTTCAGCCATCATGTGTTGCCGGGTCAAATAAATCTGCCTGGAGGCCTTCAGTATCGACAGTGCAGGCGTCTGTAGCTTAAAATGAAAGGCAATGAAACTGTTTCTTTAACCAATCAGATAATCCGTCAGATTTAATCAGCCAATCAGATTTCGCTTTGACTGCAGCGAGGCCATCAAGCAGGTGTATAATAACGTCTGTATTTTCTCGTTCTTTGATTGGATGCGCGTACTATTACTGGTAGTATCCGCATCTGTAGAAAACTGCATAAACTAAAATATATTCCTGTAGATGTAATAGATTTCAACCCACAAATTAATGTTTCTTTCCCTCCTCGACCCCCAGCAGAAAAAAATCCCTTTTTCAGCCTGAGCTAAACGCAGAGTAACGGGACTCTATTCGATCTCTCCGGGTAAAAAACAGAACAGATTAATGTAAGTTATGAAACGAATGATTTTGAAGGCAAAAGTCCCGCTGATCTCGTTGATTTCGGTCAAAACTCTGTGTGAGAGCATGGGGCAGCTGTACACATCGTCATGTTTTGCGGTGACTGTGTGTTTCTGTTGAACAGGCACTGTCAGCCATAAAGCAAATTAAAATTTATGCTAGAAATAAGACGAGACAGACACGACATTATTGGAACTGAAACGCAGTTAGAACCTGTACGACAGTAATTGAAGTCTTCTTGAGGAAAGAAATAAGGATGGATTTTGTGTAAAAAAAAAATAATCTGTAATTTTGGTGAGTATTTTTCCCCCCGTGGTGAATATGATTTTCTTCGGAATTTTTTGTATAAATTTATGATCGAAACTTAATTTTTTTCAAACATTCATACTATACATAGTTCCCACAGGCAAAAAAATTGTCACGTGACCTCCCCGGAGACGCCATCTTTGAGAGCAAAACCGCTGTGTTTACCATAGGCGTTTACAACGTTTTATCAGAGAATGTCGTTTTACAAACAAATATTTATGTCTGTTTATATTGTTATGCAAATCATGAAAAGACAAAGTGTAATAGATTATAAAGAGACTATTAAAACAAGACAGACAGAGGTACAATGCGAAAATTTCATTCATAAATGGTGTGGATCCGTATGCAGTAACGAAGGAAGCACTGAGCACCGATTATGCAACTTTACCTCAGATACAGTATTTTCATGTGTACAATTATCTGATATTGGTGAGGAGTTTTTACACATGTGAGCAATTCCAAGCCTGGAAATCACTGGAGGTGTACGATCAGATTGACGTGGGGTTGGTTTGGTGACGTTTGCTCAAGTGCAATCAATGGAAAAGTAACTTAAGTCATCATAGCGAAGTAGCATGATGCTAATCTGTCTATTAAAAAGCCATAGCCTGCACAACTTAATTCCTATGTTCCCCAGTCACCGGTGATTTCTGTAATATGCATGTACTTGCGGGCGTCATGGTTCGGTGCATGAATATTAAAATAAATAACTCGCGTGCAATTTAATTAATGTAATGCGGAACTACATTATACGCGGGATCTTTAGGGACATAATCTGAGATTGCAATGCTGGAATGTGAGATCAAACAGTGGAAACAATGTTGTTTTGTATGTTTTTAATACCTCGTCATTTTGTTCATACAGGACATTATTCAAACTGCAATGTGTTAACTTATATTTATTTACACTCGCAATAAAACACAACATTGTGCTTTTGTCAAACAAATTCTTGCGTGTTTTGAGTGAGTTTCTTTCCTGTTTATGCTCGCCAGCCATAATCTCCGTCGTTGTTCGGACAAAAGCTTAGTCTTCTCACATCCATATGGAGTCTAATGACGGGTATAGTGTAAAATCCCGATTTAACTGAACCTCCGGCACGATTTTATCATCCATTGACTCAGCAGGAGATGACCATTTTCACTTTATAGCACGAAACTCATTTCACTTCGTTCAACTCGTATTGCTTCTTCTTATGTTTTGCCCTCAGCAATGGCGCCGGGTCGGCAAATGCCCGTATGTTGTGACGTCATGTGGGAACTATGTATTGTAACGTCTGAAAGGGACTATTTTAACCCTTGAACGACAAGATAAGTGAGGCTCCGTTTCTGAACTTATAATCGGATTCGGAACGCAAGAACCACTTTACAAACGCACCAGCCGAACTCACACGCTCGTTTCTCTCTACTGGCCTCTCCCGAAATCACTGCATTAATCCAATAACTGCCGGTGCAAAATAAAAACAATTATAGAGAGTCTTTACGCTGATACACTATTGTTTCGTCAAAACAATGAGGTTTTTCTTTAAATTCTGTCATACTCAAAAATTCCTGTAGAGGGCAGTGTAGTGTGGTGACTGGACAGGAACCATTGAGAGGGTTTGTTTCCAAGGGGGCACAATAAAGTGGTGCACCACAAGAGCACATGCAGGTGAAAAGTTTGGAGAAGATCTCTTGCTGGACTTGCAACGAATTTCACCCACATTCAGTTAAAACTAATTCAAACTTGAAGAAGCAACTGATTATCAACCTATTGCAGACCTATTGCAGACCTATTGCAGATCTGTTGCAGATCTATTGCTGATCTATTTCTGACCTATTGCTGACTACTGCTTCTGCAAATACCTCTGCAATCCCAGAAAATAAACAGTCAAGTCAATGAGTTGCTTTCTCTTGCGTCCTTCAATGTTTGAACGCCTTATCAAGTTTGGGCAGAGCTGAATAAAAAAGTGGGAAACTTGACAGTTGATAATCAGCGTGGCAATGAAGACAGAAGGATCAAAGGCCTAAACGTCTCAAAGTGTCGACGCAGTGAAAGAGAATCATCTGAAATCGTCTCGCAATGGCAGAGGAAGCTTTTGGAAAAGCAGTGAAGCAGCTGAAGCAAGAGAGGACCTTGGCTAAGAGTGCATTCACCAGGCAGGCAAACTTCCTCAGCAGAGGAGCCAAAAAACTTGATGAAAAGTGAACTACAAGAGGAGTTCAAAAAACTCATTTCTGAGGCAAGGAGTGTCGGCGAGACAAATGATGAGTATAGAGCTGGTTTACTGGCAGACATTGAAGCGGACATGTCAGATGGTGAAGAAGCTGAACTTGATAAGCAGCAGCAGGCTGATTTCGAGAAGACAATCCATGAATGTGAGGTAAGATTGGAAGAGGTCAAACAAATTGTCCTGTTCAACTTATGGTCAAGATATGGTAAAGATGAGATGGGAACAGCAATCCAGGAAGCAGAGACAGCCTGTGATAGAGCTGCTGCAACACCCGTTGTCGCTTTAAACAGAGATGGTTTTGAGTTCCAGCTGGATGGCGCAAAAAGAATGATCCAAGGTGTAATCACTACCCTAGCAGCTTGGGAGATGTGGATTCCAGAAGCAGAAAAATCCAGTCTGGAAACTAGAGTAAAGAATCTGAAAGGATGCAGTAGCAACCTTGAAGCACGAAAGGTGGAGTTCATCATCGCACAAAGAATAGCAGAAGAAGAAAGAGACAGAGCGAGGGTTCCCCAGATACCCATGCCAGTTCCACAACCACAACCAACGCTGAGAATAAAGCCAACCAGTCTACCCAAATTCAATGGATGTAAAAGGAATTTCCATCGATGGAGGAAAGACTGGGAAAGTCTACAAAAGCAGGGAGAACCAACTGGCTCAGCTGAAGTTAAAAAGATACAACTCTTTGACAGCATAGACGACAGGATGTGCAGAGAGCTCCGTTTGTCTACCTACAACACTGCTGAAGACATATTCCGAGTGCTTGAGAATAGATATGGAAACAAGTCCACAATTGCTTTGGAAATTATTGAAGATCTTGAGAAGATTCCTGTTTTAAGAGCAAATCAGCCAAGAAAAGTCATTGATTTAATTCAAAATATAGAGAAGGCCCTGGATGACCTCACAGAACTTGGAAACACGGGAGCCATTAACAACCCTCTGGTGATCAAATCAATAGAAAGTAAGTTACCTGACAACATGAAAAGAGATTGGCTTGTCTTCATGGTTAACCCAGCAAATGGCGTAACACCGGACAATCACTTTGAGAATCTTCTTAAATTTCTGAAAACACAAGAAGAAATTCTAGAGAAGTTAGAGCAGTTGGGAATTAGTGAAAAGCCAGAAAAGAAATATGCTTGTATGGAGAGAAGATATGCGTCCACACGTTCCACAAGGAAAGGCGGATGTGTTGTCTGTGGAGATGAAAAGCATGGAGAAAAGATCTTCTTTTGCAAGCGTTTCAAAGAACTGAAGCCTGTGGAAAAGTTGGCTGCTGTAGAAAAGCTGGGGGCATGCAAAAGGTGTTTAGTCTGTCATGGTGAAGATGATGAATGCAAAGATACTTACCTGTGCAGGAACAGAGACTGTAAAAGA